TAATCGCGGGTTACATTAGCATTATGGCTGCACTCAAAGGGCCGGTTGTAACTTCAAGACTATTTAAAAATACATAACCATATAAATATATATATAAAATAATATAACATCTTAAAAAAAAAATCTGAGAAAAGGGCACATTCTAAGAAAAAAGCCATATTTAGAAGAAAAAAAGTAAAATTCTGAGAAAAAAGTCTAATTTGAGATGCATTGTGGGACATGCAGTTTATGGGCAACGTGCTTCTGTAAATCATGTAACCGTATAATAAACATATAATATTCTTTGCAAGCTCTTGTGGGGCCACAGAAAATGAAGTCACGGGCCGGATTTGGCCCCCGGGCCTTGAGTTTGACACCCCTGTCTTAGAGTCTTCTTGAACGGGGCCTAATCTCATATTGATTTGTTAAACATATGCTTATTCAAATATTCATTTGTATGCTATGGTTTCTTGATGTGTTTGTCCAAGTTAAGGATCAGTTCAATGCAAATTACAAAAAAAAATAAAAAATCTATAAAATGTAAAACTTTTATAAAAAACACATTTCTTTCTTCGATTGCTGTTTTGACGAATGCTAAGTAACTTTTGGCATGTGATATTATATATTTTCTGATATAGGTCGTTTATAACTGTAAAAACATACTTTTGGAATGTATCAGTGTTCATTGTTTACCTCTTTTTGATTGTTCATCAAATTCACGTTCCCATTACATTTTTATCGAACATTTATCTCAGCTCTATCTTTCAAGACTTTGACAACTGCCTTAACCTGTTTTTTCTTCTTGACCCTTCTGCACTAGTTTTTAGCATTGTGTGCAGACTTTGTTGTGTGTGTTTGTCTCATTTTAATTTTGTGTTTGTCCATGTCCTGTGTCCATGCTTTTCAGTTTATTTTGCATTTTTGTCCCGTCTTATATGTTCCCATTCCTGACCTGCACCTTGTCGTGGTGAGTGGGCTTTAAACTAAGACGGGTCATACTGAATAGTTTGTGCACACATTTTTAACATGTGATCTTTCTTTCATGTAGGACGCTTCAGGGAAGTTGCAACGCCTCGGCCAATGTGACGTCTTCTCCACGTGAAAGAGATTGAAGGCATAACTTATAACTTGAGACCATTTTCCAAAAGTTATGACTTTTATTGGCTTAGGCAGTAAGTAATGGATTACATCTAACACGAATCAAGATCGTATAGAAAAAAAGGAAAGTGTAATAGGAAAAGATGTAATCAGATTAGTTTTACTTTTTTTAATAATAGGGAAACTCAGGATTACAATCTTATTCAAAACCTAAAAATAGCTGTCTGTTGTAAAATGATCAAATTGTATCTCTTCTCTGGAAGCGGTACTGTTCTGTAGGCTAATACTTTAATTGTGAATCTATACACCTACTGCCTGAATCTGCTTTATGGTATTATATTATACATTTAAGTTAAAAAAAAATCATATTAATATTTATTCTCTCCTGTGTTTATTTGCATTGCATTTGATATTGAGGTAATCCAAAAGAAAAAGAAAGTTATCACGTTACATTACTTTTATATCTTGATACTCACATTAAGTTACTGGTTGTGTTTTTGGCAAGTAGCCCTCCTAACCCTGTATATAAGTTATATCATTTTAATTACTGATACAGTTGTTGCACATCTTTATTTTATTTTCTAGTGTACTTAAGTCATAAAATGATTCGAAACCTTTACTTTTCATAAAATGCAAGATGTAACTTTCAATGTGGCTTGTTATCACATTTTCAATGTGAAATAGATCTGATTAAATAAAGAGTAAAAGCACAATCTTAAATGTTGACATTTATCATTTTCCTATGCTTATTGTTAATGTAGTGGTGTTATAAACAAAATGTTGTCGTAAAGGAAATTAAGATGTTTTTTTATTTGTTGACAAAAGATTTAAAGTTGATGCTCACAACATGTGGGAACATTTATGGAGAAAAATGTTTCTATTGTAAAACAAATATTTATCTGCATACTGAACAATTTTGAATCTCTCTAGAAGGTATTATCTTCTGTGATGTTACGACCCTGTAGGGCATGGGTCGGCAACAGGCGGCCCGCGGGCCATTGTTGGCCCGCCAGCAATAATATTTGGCCCGTAATTTTGAGAATCAAAAATAAAATATTATTTTGATTTTTTTTTTTTTTTTTTTTTTTACAACATAGGACCGACAGTCGCACATCAGGGTTTCCGTTAGCCGCCGATCGATCGGCCGCCGGTCATTATCGGCCGATATTCACTCTTAATAGTTTGATCGGTGCTCTCTATAAAGGTCGATCAGGAGAGCTGGATCTGATCGATATGGACATAAACGCGAGTGAAGTGTAACCGGACCCGAGAGAGAGATCAGATCAGCTGCTGAGTCTGATGGAGACACGCAGCTCTGCATGATCACCTGAAGCCCCGCCCACTGTTTAGCGAGCTGCTTGAGAAACTGACGGGCAGTCAGGAGGGAGAAGGGAAAAGAGAGCATCCGTTTCTCCCGTGTTATTATTCAAAGTTATTGTAAACTTTTGAATAATGTACTTCATCTACTACAAGTAGTTTGTTTGAATGTAATAATTATGTTGTTTGTGGAATCATTTATTGAAAAATGAATCTGAACTTTTTGATCTGTAACGATTATAAACTGAAGCAATATAAAAATGAGCCCCATTAACTGAGTTTTAAACATCAGCATATCCGGTCCTAGTCCGGTGATTACCTGCTAACGGAAACTCTGCTACACAATTATTATTATTATTGAAACATGACCGGTAAGTTTCAAATTTGTCCGGTAAAATAAATTCTGTCCCGACATATCCGCTTACATTCATAATGTCAGCGGAGGGAGGGGAAGCGGCGCTGTGGAAGAGCAGAGTGGAGGGAGAGCTGTCATCTTCCCTTTACAAGCTTCAAACATGTATTTATCGTGTGATTTTGGAAATAAAAATGTCATATTCTGAAAGCCAAGACTTTGTTTATTTAAAATCAAACAAAACACCCGAACCCCGAAAAACTATTTTTTTACGCAAATCCACGTTTATTTTGAAATGAGCCGTTGCGACTTCCGACTGATTTCGATAGAGCGGGTCACATATGGCAAATGTGTGGTTGGGGGGAACCAGGTCAATTAAAGTACTTATTTAACTATTAAATACATTGAGTTTGAGTAACATACTTGGTTACTGATTAATTTAGGCTATAATATATGAAATTGCAAAGCAAAACTGCTGTAATTGATTTATTTTGTCCTTTGGTATTTTTTAAAGGTTTTCAACCTGAAAGAATCCTAATGTGTCTTTGAAAAGTTGAAATAAAGAAAAGGAAAAAGGATTCCAGTTGCCCCTCAAGCCTCTCAAATGTGGGCAAACACTCAAATAAATGCCAAAAACCCAGAGAACTTGACAATACTTATCAGAATAAAAGCATGTTAAATAACACTGCTAGTTACTTTACTCAGTGGAGGCTCGTCCATTGAGGAAAGGGAGGACCATCCTCCCTACAATTTCAGAGAAAAATAAACTTTGAAGAGAACAATAAATACACCTCAATTTAAAAGATAAGTCTGTTAAAATACAGATAATAGCCCTGGCTTTGGGACTGAAAGAGAGGACGAGCCTCCCTTTGGGCGGGTCTAGCCAGAGGCTCTGGATTGGGCGCCTATATCATCAGTGAACCAATCAGCGGATCTGACTGCGCATCAGAGTGTTGATGGGGAGGCTTATCAGCGATATCAGAGTTTTTTCTGAACCGGGGAACAGGGGCGCTGCGCCCTCTTACCAAAATCAATTCCTTGAATTAGGATTTGATTATGTTCTGGCCCGCCATCTTGCGGCTCAGCAAAAAATTGGCCCACGGCCAAACTTACTTGCCTACCCCTGCTGTAGGGATTGCACTTCATAATTACATTCTATGGTATGCTTATGACATATTTGATGCCAAAACACATGGGATTAGGGGAGACCTTCTTGTTGTTTGCATTGTCACTGATAAATGACAGCGTAATATTCATTGTCAAGATTTTGTGTTTTTAAACTTGGGACTCTTTTCAGACCGCTACGGCTTGGGAAAAGATTTGAGCCTTAATGTGTAACGTTTTCTGTATTGTATGGTAAGCTTATCCTTTCATTTGATAGTCCCATTTGGATGTGATGGCTAACATTTTCAGTAAGCAGTAGACAAAATAAGTGAAAATATGAATAATTTATTTTCAATATTTACATAAATACAGAATTATTTTAACAAATAAAATAACAAATAACAAAAACATCATAACAAATACAAAATAAAAGGTTTGACAGACAGCCATGCCCAGCATGGGCCTGGAGAGCAACAGAGTCCATTGGGGGAAGAGGGGGGGTGGGATGTGGGGAAGAGCAGCCATGTTAACAGTGTTATGGCTACAGATGTAATATCTAACTCAACATTAGCCATGGCAGTCTGGGTTTAGCAAGGGCCTTAGAATACATACTCTAAAGGCCAAATCCAAAAACAGTGATACTGACATTTTAGCAGTTCACAGTCTTTGGAGGTGGTCTTTCAGGCAATTGGCTAGTGACTTTAAAAAAATATCATTTCCCCTAGGGGTGAAATGAACTCTATCTCGCAAAAAAAGCCCAGGACTGTCATGTCTAATGTTGGAGTGGTCAACAATGACACCATTTAGGCTATGAACAAAAGTAGCCATAACACTGTTAACAAACTTCCGGGCCTTGTCAATTTTGACAGGATTTGCACCAGCCCTCCACCGGCGCCTCTGGTTGATCTGGGAGAGCATGATCTTCATGCCAGGGTGCCGACGGTGAAGCTGGTGCAGGTCCTCCTTCATCTGGTTCAGCAACTGAACACTGGGCACATCCCCCAAGTAATTGCCGCCACAGTGGATGAGGAGGACATCCAGGGCTGCTCTTCCTCGCAGGGAGTTGGGAAAAAAGGGGAGGAGACCTCTCCAGCGCAGTCCACCCCAACCGAACCAGCAGACGCGCAGGTCGAGGCCAAGGTTGCTGCCGATGGTCTCTGTAGCTCTCTGGGCTCCACGCCGGACATAGCTGTCTCCGATTATCCATACAGTCACTATGGGAGGAAAATAAATGAGAGTAACAAATGCTTCAGATAATGAGGAATATCAAATTAAGTATAAAGGGTTGCTCATTTTGTTCCTTTGACAATAACATACAAAATAACTATGAAATCACACCTGTATGGTTAAAAGTAACAAGAGAGCAAAACCTCAAAAAACAGATTAACAGCACACAGTTTATATATATTTATATACTGTGTGCTGTTTATCTACAATTGTGCACACATGTATATATATATACATATATGTATAGTATGTTTGTGTGTAATGTCAACCATCTGAAGTCATGTAAAGTAAGCCAGGACCATCAACTTACAGGTTGTGCAGTTTGGCGTGGAGGAGGTTGCCATCTTCTTTTTTCTTAATGCTGAAAGAAATAAAAATGGTTTAATCAATATAAAAGCACCTTTCTTTTTCTACAGTCATATTAATTTTTCTAGTCATATTAATTAATTATTATTATTAATATTAATTCCATTTAATTCACGCAACACTGGCCATATCTCTGCTAGTTTACAAAGTTTAGTTACAAATGACATTTATATTTGAAAAACGGTGAAGCACTTAAAAAACAATTGTATAGTGTAGGTTCAAGAACATTTAAGTTTTGTAAAGTTACAGGGTATCTTACCTTCAGAATATGCCGGGAACGAGGAGCAGTGACCGCAAGCTGTGTTGTTAGCATAGACGGTTGTTAGCATAGGTGGTTAGCTTAATACTGAGAGCATGTTAGCTTAGCTTCTTAGCCTGAGCTAGGACTCGAAAGTCACGCTCGTTGGCAGCAGGTCCCGCCCTCTTTGCCCTTATTTGGAGAAGGCGGGAGTTAGACTTTGACGACACCGTCGAGCCGTTAGTGGCCGACTCCGCCTACTAAGGGCTTCACGGCAACTCTGCAGAATCCTATGGGTGACGTCACGGACCCTACGTCCATTTATATATACAGTCTATGCTTTGTGTTAGAAAATAAAGCAACCAATCAGATCTTGTTCTGGGTCTCTGGGTAGAATATTCTTCAACCAGGGTATTCTACATCCTTGATAGAATGCCCTGAATTGTTGCACTGAATGAGAGCGTACGTTTGGACTGACAGTTTGATCAACCAATCATATATTGATTTGTAGCCAATGGGCGTATTCTTTCAGAGTTTCCCTCGGTTCCAGGGTATTCTAGAAGGCCCACTAGTTAACTGGCTCGAGACAGAGGATCTAGTTGAATGCGACGAAGCAATTCATGTTGTTTTATTTTTTTTAACGTGGAAATGACAAGTGAAGGTGACAGGTGAAGATGAAGTTGTTGCGGAATTGTTGTGAGTACCCTTTTCAAGACGAAAATTCAGTGAAAAGACGGACATTATAATTGAAAACATTGAAATTCGCCACAGTACACCAGCAGAGATGAGGGCAGCGTTCCAGTTAAATAATCCAGAAAATCTCCTTCACATCAAACCCGACCTGACAACAAGGCCAAGAGTCAAATGAATGCTTATACAATGGTTTAAATGCAAATTGAAACAGCACTTCTCTGTATCTTAATCAAATCAACAAAATACACTGAACATGTTCCTAAAATCCTATTAAACAAACAATTATCAGTCAGCTTATTTAATACATCTGTCACACATGTTATTATTTTAACAAAGTGTACTAAACTCATTTTCGGCCAACCTATAACCAGCCACAGTTAGCGCCACTTTGCTCATATTCCACAACAAATAACAGACTAAGCTATGGTCAATGCCCCTTCAATGTGCCACAACAGGCGGCAAAGCCACGTGAAGACCACCGCCAAAACCACACATTAAAGCAACACATTAAAGCACACATTAACATTGGACCAGGGACATTGGTATTGAAGGTATTGCACTCAGATGGCTCCAGTCCTACCTCACTGAACGATCCCACTTCCTCTCCCTCCCCAACCACTCCTCTGCCACAGCTTCAGTCACCCAAGGCGTTCCTCAAGGATCAGTACTTGGCCCCCTCCTATTCATCATTTACATCCTCCCCCTTGGTCAGATACTCCGCCACTTCAACCTGGACTTCCACTGCTATGCTGATGACACTCAGATCTACCTCAGCACCAAATCCCTCCATAACCCACCCCTTACCCACATCGATTCCTGTTTTACAGCTATTAAAACTTGGATGCAACATAACCTCCTCAAACTGAACAGCAACAAAACAGAACTCCTCCTAATCGGCTCCAAATCCACCCTTAGCAAGGTCACTAACATAACACTCACCATTGATGGTGTAAGAGAATATTTTAATCTGATCTTGATTATAGAGTTTCTTATTGTTTCTTAGAATCTGTGATATTGCAAACATGCTTTGTATTTAAAAGTCAAAACTCCTCTGAAAGTTGAGGTCACAGGTCAAAAGCTTCTCCCCCTTTCCTGTGGGGGAAGGGTCCAGGCCTGCCTGCATTTCTCGGGACAAACAGATTATTGTCCCACATCTGCTATTGATTAGGTAAACGCATGGCTCCGCCTCTTCTCATGTTGGTGCGTGCTGTGGTTTCTTTGTGGTCAGAGATGGCTTGGTGGGTGCACAGGACGTGTGAAACTAAGTGATCTCCCCGGCTGCATGAATGTACTTGTAAAATAAACTCTCAGTGCTTTGGCTAACGACGATCCAGACTCCTTCATTCCACCTCAACATTGCAACATTAGAAGTTTTACTTCACAATTTGCGTCACGGACAATTACCAACAGATCGTCGGCTGGTAAGTGTAATTTCAAATCTATATTTGGATATTGCCTTACCAACTCTGTGATTGACGGTATCAAAATTACCTGTGAAACTGCGCGAGTGCAATTTGTTTTTGGTCTCTCTACTCTGTACATTTGAAGGCTTAATTATAACCTGAGAAATCGGTGTCAAAGGGGATTCTATCCTGGCCGATTTTTCCTGTGATTGCTGCTGGGGCAAGTGCCCACAGAAGCAAGCACAGCTCATGTATAAAACAATAAGAATATTTGGGGCTAATAAATAACCTCGGAATATCGACTTTTACCGATTTCCGCTGTGTGTGGTTCCTGGAATTAAATTACTAGACAATTACACACGGCAAATATTCGGAGAGACCTTAAGGAGAGCATCAGCAAGGTGGAACTTCTGTTTCAAAAGCAATGTGAGGATTTGTAATTGAAACAAATCGCCGAATTCTGGAGATTTCAACGGTTTAAGTCAGATCAATCCGCCTCTGGTTTCTGCTCAGCCTGCACGAGGGAGGGCGAATTCCCCTCCCCCCTGTGGTGAACGGCACACGAGGAATATAGAGCACAGGGTTGTATTTTGCTAATCACACCATAAGTTTTAGAACAAAATAAAACGATTATAAATGGGAAGGGTGATACCAGAATATTACATTCACACTGTGTTTAATAAACTAACGGATTATTGAATTGGCTGTTGTTTAAAAAAAAAGAGTACTGAATTAATTAAAAATATCTGCTCTCGGTCGGTAGAGCGGTTTTACCACTAAATTTGCATAGTGGTTTTGATTGAGAATAAAGTAGTTTATTGCTCTTCAACAGATTACTAGTAAATATGGCTGATAAGAGCCCATATTAAACAGATATTTCAGTGCTCCCGTTGAGGTTTCCGTAATTCGGATTAAATTAAACTGGATGACTTTTGTTTTTTTTACTGATTTTGTTGCGAGTACATGTTTGTTTGTCTAATTGCAGTGTTTGTTTTATTGTACTAACCGTTAAACATGGGTAATACTGCCTCCACATACGATTCAGTTGGTAAGAGGAAAACGATTTCACGCACAAAGACACTTTCTGAAAATCCAATTGCAGAAAGCCATTACATGCACTTGTTTTCTCCAAATATGCCGTCTGGAATTGTCGGAAGAACCTTGGATTGGTCTAAAGTTATGCCGTTTACATCGTTACTTTGCGAACACTCACAACAGATTAATCAGAAAGGATTGATTCAATTTGACTGGCCTCTTACAGGTAGTTTTGATATGGCCGTGTTGTGGCAAGCATTTAAACTGGTGGAAAATAATTCAAATTGTTCATGGGATCGGCAATACATGACAGGATGTGTGAAGGCTTGGATGGCAATTGCAGAGAAAAGAGGTTATGATGAGCGGAAGAATGCAAAATCTGTTGGCAGCGAGCGAGGCTCCATTGAGCTCAAAGCGCTTATTGATAAGGTTTCTCAATGTGCAAAAAGTTGTCATTTGCTTAGCCTAGAGCAGGGGTGGGGAACCTTTTTCCTCTCAAGGGCCATTTCAATTTTTTCAACATTCTCCGAGGGCCGTACAAATTATTGACCTCTGCTTAAAAATCACAGCACATTCATTTAGCCTTTATTTCATGCTGTGCAAAGAAAAAGCAACCTCTTAATCCAGATATCTTGCCATGACTCGCGCATGCACGTGCACAGTTGTGGCATGACCACCAAACAGAAAGATATGGACACAAGATGTGTGCAAATGTATTTAGTTTCCTATTCATGGACATGATTTAAGTGGGGGGGGGACCTAACCTCCTCTAGGTTAGGTCCTAGAAGAGGTTAAAAAAGATTTTTTTTTTTTAAATATTGAAGTTGAAAGCATCAATCTGGTGCACTTTGAGAGCAACATTAAGAGATCTATGGAAACATCTCTCAACACCCATATGAAACAGAACTGTAAGCAGATATTCTTTTTCTTTATGGATATTTTACAAATCACTCTCCTTTCAAACTGTATTCTTGTTTATTAATAACAACTTTTTTTTACTGTCATATAGTATTTTATACCTGTTTACTTTATTCTCTTATTTTTTTATAACTATAATGATCATATAAAGATGGGCCTTTACCTCACTGGTTGGAGAAAAAGCTTCTTATATTCGTTAGCATAGCTAGCTAACCAGATGCTAATAACAACAAAGTTATTGACTGTATGATCAGAATGACAGATGAACAGATCGCCACTGGGCTTTCAACTAAAGACACAGCCACGCAAAAACTGCAGCATGTGTACCCTACGGATTTATGGGTACTGCAATTTTTTGAAGTCCCGGAGTGGCGTTCTGGTGCTCTCCGTCAGCACTACACCCCTGTCAGACGAGACATATACCACGTTAGGCTCGTGTTGTGTTCAAGGACCATGACCGTTGCCAGGAAAAACAGGCACTCGCGTGTTTAATTATTTTGCGGTCTAGATTTCTTTCATTTTTTTCTTTTTTGCGTGTGTTTATAAATTACTTCGAGGGCCAAACCCCTGGCCTAGAGGCTGCTTTTGATGTAAGATCAGAAAACATGTAAGATCAGAAAACATGTAAAACATGTAAGATCAGAAAACATGCTTTTGATGTAAGATCAGAAAACATGTTTTCTGAATTAGGGAAAGACACGGTGAAAATGCTCCAGACATTGCAAAGTCAGTCATATTTGATTGGGTTAAACGACAGGGTAAATCTCCAAGCCCGTCTCAGCTCATTTGCATTTTGACAGACGCGAGGCTGCTGGAAGGAAAGCAGGCTGTATCTCTCTGTACAAAAATAATTCCCGCGACAGAACTCTCAAATCCCGTTGCGAGAAACTCCGATGATGATCTGTTAATGACAGCTGCAGCTATCATGAATGAAAATGGGTTGAGATATCAGACAGGACAATATAGAGAATTACAATCGGCACAAGAGGAGCAGAGTGCAGCAGCGGGGGAAGAGAATTCTTCAGACGGCA